TAGAAGACTACTTTTAGTAGGAAACATAGGGTTTTCTAGGAGAGTTCAAACAATTACAAACTTTTACAAACTTATACATCATATACTTACAAACACTTTCATACAAGCAATGACTCTAAAATACTTATGATCTCACCAGCTTTAAAGCTGATAAATTTTTTCAAAATAACTTCTATTCTCAGGTCACCAGTAGACAGGTACCGGTGCCAGGTTTTGAGAAGATGGAGCTCGTTCAAGACTCATCTTTTATTTTGATTCATATTTTTGGTGTCTATTAAACTTGACAGAACACACTTGTATTAAATTATATTATTAATGCAATGGATGATGTTGTTGCTTGTTTACTACTATGTATTGTTGTGATACTGTACATGACGTCCTCCACCCCCGAACGATTCCGCCGTTCCGGTTTTGGGGTGTGACAGCGATTGCGAACTAGACATGACGAAAGCGAAGATGAACAATCAAAATCAAAATAAAAAATGGATCAAAACGATCGCTGATACCATGTTACATGAAGATGAAGAAATGATATGAGAAAAAGAGATTTCATTGATTCTTGCTTTCGTTATTGCATAATGATCAGAAAGATCAAGAATAAATAGACGACTAACTCAGCTAACATTCTCTCTCTCTAACAGACTAACTACAATTAGCTAACTGCTAACTGAAATGAAAACAACTTGATAATTAACACGTGGAGTTATTTATGACTAACAATAAACAACCCAATCTACTAAAAAAACACCCTCTCCTATAAAAATACATTTAGTCAAAACTTATTATTATATTAAAAAAACACTTTTTAAGATTTTTTTAAATATTTTTATTTTACCTTTTAAAATTATTTAAATATAAAATTCTTTAAAAGGAGTCAACATAATTGGTTCTTATGGTAGAAAAGAAATCATCAATATTTACGTGTATTTTGCAAAACGACTAATTTTTTTTTTTATTATTTTTTGTCTAGAAGCTTGTTAATATTTTAATGTCTTCGTTTACGTATTTATTTGAATTATAAATTTTACTTGTCATAGTTAAAAGAACATGGTGCACCTCAATGAAATGATTTATTAAAAAACAATATATTTTTTAAACTGTTACTTAAAAGCTATTAATAACAAACATAATATTTAAAAATTGTTATCCAAAGTTATTTTCTTTTGCAAATTAATTTAACGCATTCATAAATATGTTCACCAGGCCCGGCCCTGATATTTCGGAGGCATTGTGCAAAAACTAAAATGAGGCCTCACAAAAATTTCTTGTAAATATTATTAACTACATTTGCTACCACTAATTCAAAACATAAAGTTGCTAAAAAACATCTCATAAATTCACTACCACAAAATAATGTCTTCATCACTCATTAGTAATCAAATAAAACTGTAAAACTGTTATAAACAACTTTTCAACAAAAAAAAAAAAAACAACGCATTACTATTTTCTAAACATTGACCTTCTAGCATTTTTAGAAGAAAATTCATCTATGAGACTTTCATAATCAAGAAACTCGTTCTCAATCGAAATCAATGCCAAAGCGTTTAATCTCTCTTGAGACATGGTCGAGCGCAAATAAGATTTTAAAAGCTTTAGTTTTGAAAAACTTTTTTCCGCTGATGCAACTGTAATAGGAACAGTCAACAATATTTTGTATGCTAGATAAGAAACTGGATAAGTGTTCATCATTTTTAGGAAATTTAGTATTTCGTTAGCTGTATTGTGTTCAACCGGTAAATGTTTTTGTAACAACTCCAGTTTGTTGAATAAATCATCAACATTAATGTCTGAGATATGACCATTTTGCAGCCTCTTTTCCAGATTTTTGCAACATGACTTTAACTCGCTAGTATTCATTGACTTCAACTTTTCTGTTGTGAATAAGAAACCAAAAATGTCTTCATATTGTTTGTATTGTTCAAACCTTCGCTCCAATGAACCAATAGCTTGATCAACTATGTACACAAAATATTGAATCATAAATGACTCTTGAGGTGAAAGTTCATGTACCGGCTCTGATGACCCAATGTCATTCTCATCAAAATGTCCTTTTTTTAACAACTTTTCTTTTATTATTTTTCTCAACAAACACTGGATAAATTTCCAAATCAGAAGCTATAGCTCTCGCACAATCCAAAGCCTTCCCAAACCCATTCTCTCGATAGTCTTTAAAAAACTCAATAAGTGCTCTCACATTACTCATTGCCTCATCAATACACATAGTCTCAGATTGAAGTTGTTTGCTCAGGTTATTTACTTTAGCCAATATATGATACTATATAACCATACCTGTTATAAAGTCAAATCTGCCAAGTTCATACTCTGCTAGACAAGTAGCTTCACTTATGATCTTTATGTCTGTCTCTTCTTCAACAAGTTGATGCATAACTTTTACTATTTCAGGAGCTTGAGTAACTATGGCTTTCACACTTTCAATCCTACTTTCCCACCTTGTAGTTGACAATGATTTTAAAGTGAGACTTTGTTTCGGTAATTAAAACGCATCGGATGCCAAATGTTAAAACGCATCTAAAATTGGAACCAAAAGTTACCGGGCTAATTTTATGTATTGATAAAACATAAAAATAGATTTTACAAAAATATCAATACTATAACTATAAATTATCCTAAAAATCGGAGGCCCCCTAAAATCGGAGGCCTGGTGCGACCGCACCGCCGGCACCACCCAGGGCCGCCACTGATGTTCACGTATGACAAAATATATATCAAATACATTGATAGTAAAAAGATATTTTAATAATAAAAACTAAAATATCTGATAGCAATAAAAAAAGATGATAAAAAAGAAAAGAAGGTTTTTAATGTTTATCTTAATTTAATAGATGTAATTAATAATTGATCTGAAATTACGGAAAACAAAACTAGTTATAAAGTATTTATTGTTAAAAAGAAGTTTGATTTTTAATAAAGGTGTTTTTTGAGTGTTTATTTAGTAGCATCCTTGAATTATTCGATTAGGAAAATGCATCGTCTCAAATGATTAAAAAACTAGTTATGATATCGATTCAAAATACTCAACATTCTATTTAAGATGATTTAAGGTCAATGATTAAAGATGCTCTAAAAGCATGTCTCATGGTAGCTTCTTAAAAAACTTTTTTACTATTTCAATAAGCTTTTCGTAAGTTTTACCATCGGAGGGGATGGTTTTTTTTAGTTTTTTACTCCAACCACTTATGTAGTGATTTTATTTTATTTTGCAAAAAAACTCTTTTATCATGTAAACAGAAATTTGAGGAAAATATTATTTATTTTTCAGAAGATAAAAGACACTGAAGATAAAAGACATTAAAATGTCTTTTCAACGACCTTTTTTAGAAGTAAGAAAAAAATAACTATTGCTTTTGAAAAACATCTTTTAAGTTCTAACACAAAAATGTTTTTTTTTACCACTTGTCACCACCTTCACCGCCGCAACCACCACCAACACAATCACCTCCGCCGCCACCACTGCCATCATCGGTTAATGAGTGTATGTACTACCGGTTTGTTTGTTTAGTAATGATAATACGGTTTAGTATCATTTATACAACCTATTGACTTTAAAAAAGAAACAATTTATTTTAATTTATTTTTTATAGACTGCAAACTTTTGGTACATATCTTCTTTTGAAGATGTGAAAAAAAACTACAAATATTTTACATTTTCAATACAAACAATACCTTAATAAACTCCTACCTCTTAATTTTCCAAAATTTTTTTTGGAGTTCGTTCATATTGGTTTGTACATTTAATAACCTTTCGTTATATGCCCTAAGGTTTATTTAGATATTAATTTTTTTTTCCAGAAAAGTTAGTCTCTTTAATTAAATAAACAAAATAAAAATGAATATATTTTATAAAAGGTTATATCATTTAAAAGCAATTATCAAAAATTTCAAAATTTTAAAATACAAATGTTATAAAACATTACAACTAGATACTATTTTATCAATTTTTAACTCGTATAACCATATATATGGAAATTTATCATATTTTATATTTTTCAAAAAGAAAACCCGATGTAGTTATTATAAGGAGACTTTATAACATGTTTATACAAAAAAAAAAGTTAAGTTAATTTAAAGAAAACACTTTTAAAAATGTAAACTATTGGGGATGCCTAAGAATGAGAATTAACAAAACAAAAGGAACTCCAATCCATTTCATAAACAAAACAAACAAATTCCTTTTCATTTTAATGAAATGCACCATTCCTCTTCCTAGATCCAATCATATAAAAAAAACAAACTAACATAATTCACTTCGGTGTAAGTTACTTAACACATTTTCTAGATAATTAAAAGTAGGAATAAGAAACAAAAACCGAAAAACCAACAAAAATTTGATAAAACTAAAACCAAACCCAAACCAGGTTTAGATTTTTCAAAACCAAAAAGTTTGGCTCAGGTTTGGTTTGCACATTAAAAACCAACTCACTAAAACTGAACACACCCAATGATTTTAAAACCCGAATAGAAACCAACGGGTTTATTTCCAAAACCCATCAACTGGTTTTAACTTTTACTCTTTCTTAGTTTCATTAAACTAGTTGGTTGATTTTAGTGTTTTGTTTGGTATTAAATTTGATTGAATTTGTTTCATTTTATTTAGAATCATTAGAAAATTGGTTAAAATCCAAAACCCATCAACCCAAAAAACAAAACCATAAGCCAAACCCATCTAAAAACCGAACTTCTCAGTTTGGGTTCTCTATTTTACCCCAAAACCGACTAAATCATCCCATGCTCAGTCCAAACTAAAAGTGTTTAGCTCATTAAAAAATTTGTCAAGTTAGGATAAAACTTGTTCCATAGCATATATGTTAATAAAAAAACAAAATCAATTTTCAAACCTTGTATAAAATGTCAACTTGATTTTGTTGTCTTTTATTTTAGAACAACAAACCATCCTAAGGTTGAAACCTGGGTGGGGTCAACTCCTTTTTGGAGTGAGGTCATCTTTTAGCTTTTGCAAATCAAAATATAGTTAAGAGAGGTTTCAAACTTAATAAACGCAAAGTTTCTACTACTTAAATGGCAAATACTCAGTTCAAACGAAACTAGACATGATTATAGTTTAAATTTTGAGAATGTCATGATGCTAAGTAAAAGGGTGTTTAAAAAGACAAAATCACTCCTCTAGCTGAGCAATTATACCAGTAAACACCTTGTACCCTTGACACATGTCCGAAAGAAGGCAATACTCATTTTTCGCATGGTAAGTAGACATCAATCCTGAAAAAAACAAAATCATGATTATTACCACATTTCATTGATCAATAACACTACAAACTCTCAACATATTTATGAATTCCAAAATAGTCCCTAGAACAACATCCCAAAACCAATAGGAAATCCTTTTTTTTTTTTTTAGAAGTTTGGTAAAATAAACAGAAACATATCACATACCATAGCCTGCAGTTTGAACATCAAAACCTTCATCCTGTTTATGATAAAAGAGATTTGTATTTTGTAAAGTGAGAAGTAAGAGATATTTATAAATAAAAAGTGGAAATTGTACTTACTTGTAATTCTCGTATAAGTGGCAAAGTTCCAGTTATGGAATACGGTTTCACATGGCCAACAGCATCTTTAGTAGCTTCACATAACACATGGAACCCACGAGACTCAAGGTTACATGCAACTCCTGATGATGCCTCATCAAACGAAATCTCAATTCTGGAATTAACACAAATTTTGTTTTTTTTTTTAAAAAAGATTGGAGTGTTTTCTGTAATTTTGAGAAATTGATGCTATACTTGGGAAATAAAAGGAGAAAAATACATCAGGGCAAATTTGTAAAATGTTAGGACTTAATGGAAAATGCCTCATTAAGTTGTTCTTTCTGCATTAAGTAAAAAATATACATATATGTATAGATGTACGAATTTTATCTTTTTTTCCCCATATTTGAGAAAAAGAAAGCACTTTTGGGAAAAAGGAGAAAAGAGGACGAGGGCAAATTTGTAAAAAAGATATGATTTTGTGGGATATGCCTCATTTCCCTCACTGATCTATTAAGTCAAAAAGGCACACCCATTTATAGTTTTTTCAGCTCTTTTCTCACAATAAGCATTGTATGGATAAATAATGTTAAAAAAATATTTAAGAAAATGAAGGAATAAGAATGGACAAAGGCAAGGGCAAATATGGAAATTGAAAGACATACCTCCCTCTAAGGTTTTCATCTGGCAAGACGTATTTTGACACGGGCCCCCTTGTAGCAATCTTCTCTATATTTTTATTTAAATCTTCTACATATTCCTTTAGCTTCTTAATTACATCTGGCACACTGAAATTGTATCACAATGTTAAACTAGAAGAAAATATAAAGTAGAAAAGAGACGATAAATAACAAAAAATAAATCAAAAGACGAATAAACTTACTTGTAAAAAGGGGTCAACCTCACATCTCCTGAAATCGTGCAATCAGCAGGAATTTGATTGATCCCACCTCCAGGGTCTGTAATAAATAGCAACATACTTTCATATGATTGTTTATTATATTTATTTATAGCATCATACTTTTATTTTGTCATATTACAATATTGTAGTTTGAAAATGTTATTGAAATGCAAAAGGGGTTTTGTTAGAACTTACATGTCCATTGAGTAGGTTTCATGGTTGAAGGTGTTGCGAATCCATAAACTTGTTCTTTAGAATGTGGAGGGAAATCTTTGTAAAATCTTGTTTGGATCTCTTTGAGTGCCTCCATTGCTAGCTCAAAAGGATTTATAGCCTACCAAGTAATTGAGCAAATGAAATTAATCATAGATCACATAAAAAAAAATGAAATCTGTCAAAGGGATTGGAATTTGAAAGAAATGGAATATGTCAAAGTAACGGAATACAATTTATTTATAGAACACACTCATTCATTCAATAATAAACATTGAATAACTTAAAATTTTTGTTTGTAATCAAATATTTCTTATTTAATAGAAATACATGCATTTTTCGATCAATTGAAATATTATATAATGGAAGTAGTTTGGCCTTTTAAGTAACAAACATGGGAATGAATGGAATTGAATTCCTTCCTTGAAAGATGAACTCCATGAATGATGGAATCTAAAGGATTCCGATGGAATTCAATTCCGTACATTTGGCAACCAAGCAAACACGCCATGGAATGGAATCTGGAATTCCATCCATTAGTCAACCAAACATGCCATGAACCATATGCCCTTTAAGTATCTTTATTTATGTTGATCAAATAAATTTATAGCAATAACCAAAAGCAACTTCTTTTATTCAAGACACCTTGTGTGCTAGACCACTATGAAAAAGCTTCCCTGTAACATGAAGCTTCCATGGTATCATACCACCCGTACCAATGCAAGGTTGCTTATCAGCTGTGTCAATCCAAAACCTTCAACAAAAAAAACCATCTGATTTAGATTTTATCATTATTTACATCTTTTTTTATTGAAGCATTCCATAAATTCAAAATCTTCTTACATAAAACATTTTAGAAACTATATCATTGTTCTTTAAAGTTACGTTTGATGAGGATGAGAAGGACATTCTTGTGGTTTTTATACAGCTGCTGTGTCATGGCATGTCCTGTGTAACAAACGGGGCCTACATGATTTGGAAAGAAATAATAAAAAAGGGGACTTACAGAGGTCCATTTTTTAGCTTATCAAGAAGTCCATCTTTAACAAGTGCATCAACACCAACTCCTGGAATGGAAGAGTTCTCTTCACTGGCTATGAAAACAGCAACCACACTGGATTTAAGTTTTGGCTTTGTCTGCCCGAGCTTCTTCATGAGCTCGGTTACAAGAGCAACATGTCCCAAGCAATCCGTTGTCCCACGCCCTCGAAGCTTGTCTCCATCAATGCTCATTGAAAATGGATCAAAATCCTGTACAATTTCAGAAAATTTTGATTATTTGAACCCTAGTTGATACAGGTTTCACACAAAACCATAAAAAATGATGTTAACATATGCTGATTCCATTAAAATTGAAACATAGTTAACATTGATATGAGATTTTATAAGGAGATAATACAAACCCATTCAAAAGGATTAGCAGTGACGACATCCATGTGCATTCCAACAAAAGAAAGGATCTTTCCGGGTTCAGTTCCAGGGTACTCCACTATGAGATTCCCTCTATTGGGTTTATACGTGACATGGTTGAGGATGAGTGGGCCGCCACCGGTGGCGGTGCTGTGCGGGAGGAGGGCTTCACGAACATGGCGGACGATTCTATCCTCCTCCGGGATGAGGTCCGGCGGATTGTTCTGAACATATTTAGATTCCCCTATGAGTTTGGTGAGAAGGGTGACGAAAGAATCCTTGTTTAGGTCTCCGAGCGTTTCTTTTACGGCTGAAGCCACCATCATCGAGGAGAGGGGAGAGTGTGATCGTAGCAAACCGGGAGAACCAGAAACTTTACAATTCTATATCTAAAGATTTGGAAACTATTTAGGGGTGTTTGTGTATAAGCTTATGCTTGTGAACTTAACTTACGAGCTTATTAGCTTATAAAAAAAATATTTGGATTAGCCTATGACTTATAAGCTAATAAGCTCTTTTTAAAATAGTGTTTGTGTTAGTTTATTTTTTGTAAAATGACCAAAATCAACATGCTTAGGAATGTAATTGAATTCTATTGTAATTGAATTATGAAGGAATTGAATTCTGCAGGAATTGAATTCTGTTGTGCGTTTGGCTGCCAAATTTTGAGTTGTAATTGAAATTCATTCTCATGTTTTTTCCCGTTTGGATTGATGATTTGTTGAAGGAATTGGAATGAAATTCTGTCAAATGACAATAATACCCTTTATTTGTTTTTTTAAAATTGCTTTATAATTTACATAAAAAAAACTTTTAAATAAACCAACAATCAAATTTAATACCGATTATAAACATATATAACATAACAATCAAATATAACTTCCATTCTAGAGCGTTTTTCATACATATTCCAAAATGATAAACCAAAATAAATACATGTTAGATAAGTTTGGAACATCGATGATATCCATGATATCACAATTTACAAAAAATGAGCAAAGTATCTCAAAATGATACACCGAAATACTATGTGGTACATATCATTCTTCCAACATGAGCTTCACAAAAGTTTCACGTTCTTCGCCTTCCAAGTTCCAAAAAGTCAACACTGCTTCCGGCTCGCGCATTATCTTTCGACATGCTTTAAACTTATCCTTTTGATCCATTGATGGAATCTTCAAAATTTCAGAAGTCACCATAGAAGTTTTCTTTTGTAACTCCACTTCAGCATTTAAAGATTGAGACATGGTGGCCGATGCTTCCCAAAGATCTTTGCCAAGTAACGCGGCGGCTTTAGATATTCCCTCAATGAAAAGATCAAATTTACGTTTCCTTTTCTTAGTACTAGCACTTGAAGTTTCCTCACTTTGCCCATTTGTTGTAGGTGAAATTTCCTCACTTTGCTCATTGGAATCATCTTCCATTTGCAATAATTCTTCTTCCACATTTTCATTATGTGTCATATCCTCACAATCTTCGGCTCTATTCCCTTGAGCCCTATCTTTTCCAAAAATGATGCAAAAGTCATCATAATGAGGAAGCGATTTATTTCTCCATTTTTCAGCTCCTTTATGCACCTATCACATGCAACAACAAATTATTATTTTGAACAAGAATAATAATAGATCAAAGATATATATTAAACATACCTTTACATAAGAATCCCAAACCTCAGGTGATTCAACTGTTCCACATCGATTAACACTATCATAACCAAACCCACTTGTGTTATTACCGGTGATCATGTCATAAACAACATGCCACTCTTTCTTCATAGTTCTGATTCGTGACTTAATATGAGGTTTCGCCAGAATACCCGCATTCGGGAGTGAATCTTTCAATGCTTGTCCCAAATGTTGTAAATAACCAGATTTAAAACCATTATCGGCTTTAAACCCACCCGCATTTACCATATTTAACATCGCCTCCACAAGCTTAGCATCTTCATGTGTTGTCCACGTCCTATAATTTCGAATTTTTTCAGCCATACCTACAAATAAACTACAATTATAATATACAAAAAACCAAAAAAAACACCAACTTACTAAAACAAGTATCATGAGACTTTTGTCCCATACACAAAAAAAAACCCATCATCACAGTCAACTAAATACAATACAAATAGCAGATTAATAAGGTTCAAATAAACTACAATATAATAGTAATAACGTACAAATAAACGACAAATAAAATACAAATAATAGAGTAATAAGGTGCAAATAAACTACAAATAACATTAGTTTGTTGTATTCCAAGAATCAAACATTGTTTGTGCTAAATTATCTCTAAACGTAGTCCATTCGTCTGAAGTCCCGATGGTTGTGACATTATCATCATTTCCACCCCCATTGTCGCCGGTTCCCTCATTTGGTGAAGCATTGTCTTCAAAAGGATCAATTGCCATTTCTTGCCTTATATAATTATGAAGAAGACAGCATGCCATTATGATTCTATTATTTATTGCAACCGGATAATACGAGTTATCTCTTAAAACTCCCCATCTTGCCTTTAAAATACCGAAACATCTTTCTATAACATTTCGTGCAGAAGAATGCCTCATATTATATAATTCTTTTGGAGTGGTTGGTTGATGTCCGTCACGCCAATCATTCAAGTGATACCTTTGACCTCTATAAGGGGCAAGGAAACCTTCTCCGTTTGTATATCCAGCATCTACTAAGTAATAGCCTAAACATACATTATAGTTAATATAACATGGATGTGTAATTGATAGTTAATTTATTATTGATAAGTACCTGTCCTTCGAATTTTTAATCCATTTGGTCTTAGCAAGGCATTTCTAAGCACTCTACTATCCGCAGCTGATCCTTCCCATCCCGGTAACACATAGATAAATTGCATGTCTTGTGAACAAACCCCCAACACATTTGTAGCTATATCATTTTTTCTTGTTCTATACCTAGGTTTATCTTCAAGTGGCACTAAACACTTTATATGTGTTCCATCTAAACCCCCTAGACAGTTCTTAAACCACTTCCATCTTTGATCCGTAGAGTCTTCAGTAATAGGTTCGGGTCTCTTAAGCAAATAAGGATGCAATCTTATCACCGCATGACATACTCGAATGACAAGTCTACTAATTGTTTCTCCCGAACGATGAAAACGACAAGTAAGGACTCGATTCTTAACATTATGTGCAATCATGTGAAGGAATATGGCAACTTGTTCATCAACATTCATATATCTAGTTGCTTTTAACCCACCTAATGTTTCTAGCATGCAACACAATCTTGCAAAACATCTCATATTCATCCTAAGTTGTGATAAACACATGGTGTCACTCTCATAAGCATACCTATGCAATATGGTGTATCGATCGGTATGTGATGATATACCCTGGATACATAGTCTACTGCTTTTGTATTTGGCTATCAAATTGCATAAGGTAATAAAAAACCATACAACCGATACCATAACTTGGTTCCAATATGCCACAACAACTTTCCTTCTCCCTAACCTACGTCTACATGTTAAACTAAGTCGAGACATAACCTGTAACAAATTCAAGTAAAACCATAAAAAAAACAGGTTCATTAACCGGAATTCAAAACCCATCTCGTAATCAGATAAAAAACAAAAACTAAAAAGGTCGACAATTTCCCATGGACTTTTTCCAAGAGTTGGCGTCGCCGACTTTTTTCCAAGAGGCGTCAATTTTCCCGCCAACAGAGAAGATGACGAAGAAATAGAAAGCATGAAGAAGAAATTAGAATGGAACATTGTGATGGAGATTGGAACGATTTGAAGGAACCGATTTGAAGGAACCGATTTGAAAGAACCGATTGGAAGGATCTAATTACCGAATCAGATTGAATGAAGATGGCGAAGAAATTAATAGAAAACATGATGAAGAAATCAGATTAACATACCCGTATGATGAATGAAGATGACGAAGATGGCAAGGATCAGTTCGTTCGCTGGAGTTCGGTCGTTGGATTGGAGGTCGTGTCCTTCACGAAAGGAAGGAAAGAAAGCGAGCAATAAACTGGAATTAGGGCTGCGTTCTTTTTTTTGATGAAATGAAAGGGGTATTTTTGTCTCAATAAAATATGGAACACGCCTTGTATTTGAAATCTTCTCTCATAGCCAAGGAATCTGATTACACTAGAGAAGGGCATGTTTTTTTCATTTAGCAATTCAATTCCTTATAAAAACCTAGCCAAACACACTTTGTAATTGGAATTCAAATCCAATTACAAAGGAATACAGCCAAATATGTCACAACAAACACGCCCCTAGTGTTTCGGAAAAGAAGAATAAGGGTAAATACGTAAATACACATAAATAAGCTCATGCCTTGAAAAAAAAAGTTGAATTGAAATGAATTATGAAAATTGGTTTATTTTTAGGTAAAATAAGCTCATAAGCTTAAGCTAATAAGCTAATCCAAACACTAACTTTTTCATAAGCCCAAATATAAGCTCATAAATTAAAAAGCCTGAAAAATAAGTTAAAACAAACACCCTCTTAGTAGTAGTAAAAAGGGTTTAGGGACGAAAAGAGGTAATGGAGGCCGTCTAGGGTTTGGTCCATATGACATAAGAGTGCTTAAATAGCGGTTCATGGTCCAAAAATTAGGGTTTTGACTTAAGTCACGTACGCCCCGCGTACGTGGTGCAAGACCGCGTCCATGCCATCCTAGTATGCTAAGTGTATGCATATGTACGCTCATCGTACGTAGGGACCTCCTTTGATAAAATAAATTCATTCCAAGGGTTAAAGGGTAATTACCTACATTTCGAATGTTACAGACGTTGTAGTTTTGAAAAATTTATCAGATCAGCACAATCAATAACAAAGAGAGTAAAATCGAGTGAAAGCTAAATGGAAACTTTACTAAATACTATAGACATATAAATACTAAAAAATAATAGGGAAAATAAAAGAAAACCGGATTATAAAAATTGCCATAAGCAAGTCAAACACCAAATAATGGACTTGTCAACTTAAAGATTTTAGTTTTCCAAAGAATCTGTAACATCCGATTTTGAGGTATGTATTATTTTAAACTTAAAGTTTATTTTTTGATGAGTCACCACGACGTGGGAAGGATGGCCACGGCGTGGCGAAGCAATTTCCAGTCGCGAATCTTTTGACTCGTCACGATGTGGCAAGGAAGGCCATGTCATGGTGCCGATGACGTCTTAAACCCTAAATTCTCGGGTTTGCACCCTATTTAAAGGAATAATGTGACATCCCTATTTTCACGGCCAGAAAAGACCGATTTTGTTTATGCTTTATAAAAATCAGAGTACCCTTTTTAATAAAAACATTGCGGAATTTGTTCCCAGAAAAACATGATAAATACGTTATCAAAGCATTTCCGAAGAAATGTATTTTATTCATTTTAAAACATTGGGATGTCATCGTCAATACAGAAACATAAG